TTATTTAATATAATCTAACATGAATATTTTTCATAAATCTTTAAAAGGACATAAACAAAACATATAGATTATCTCAAAGAATAATCATTGAAAAGATTTTGATTTATTTTTAGTCTATTGACATGCTGTTGTTCATCAAAAGCAGGAGTAAAACGAAAAGATGGAACTATAAATGAAACTGAACAATCATCTGAAATATGTTGGCTATGGCAACCATTAGAATTTGAACTAGAAGATTATGTATTAGATTTAACATATACTCAAACATTGTGTTGGTATGTTGATACAGTGATTATTGTTAGAGAATTTATATATATTATCTTTTAGGCATGGTTTAATTTTTTGTCCATTTTTACCGTTAATTTCAGCAGCTAAAAATATACTTATCTTTGTTGTTAAATTCGTAAGTGAAAAATAAAACAATAAAGCGTATGTATGTGGGTGTTTTCTATATAATTTTTCTTTAGATAAGCCTGGCTGTATTTCGAAAAAGATCACAATTAGAATTGAGTCCTGCTCGAGCTCGTCATATATTTACAGCTGTTCTTCTTTTTTCTTTTGTTTGGGCTTTGCTACCAATTAGTTTTCTTGCTACATCGTAAGTATATTTTCTAAGAAACAAAATCACAAAAAAAAAAAAAAATAATTATTTTCTATTTAATAGACTTCGACCATCACGTGGTTGTGGTCCATTTCGTTTATATAGTCATGAAACTGAATATTATATGTATTATTCAGTTCGTAATATTGTTACACAAATTCAAAATGAAATTTTTGTCAACATTATACTTAAAATTACTAGTGCTGTGGTTATTATTCCATTAGTTTTAATTTTAATGTATGTAGATAATTTCATCTCTTTAGTAAACATGATTAATTGTTATCTTTTCTTACAGTTTATTTTCTTGTATTTTAACCATTCGACGTAATAGTTATCGAGGAGCATCTTTAGAACTTTATAAATTATTGTATTCGGTAAGTTATAATCTCAGAAAAAAATATTCTTAACTATTGTATGTATTTTTTTTTGTTTTTAGTCACATAAAGTACATCAACTAGCTGTGAAAAATGCGCCCCGTAGAAAAACGCATCACTAAATTTCGAACAATTTTATGACTTTGTATTATAAAATTATTTTAAAATGAGAAGCAATTAAAGAGAGCAATAAAATATTCTTATAACAATACAATCTTAAATAACTGTAAAACGAACATTGTCTAAATCTTGATATATTTGTCTTACAAGAGAATATTTTCAACTGATCAATACCTTTCTCACCGAAAACTATTGGATTATAGCTTATCGAATTCTATTGATCTTTACGTTGTTTCAGACTTGTTGCGTAGCACACTACTCAAAAAATGAGATATAATGAAACAAAAAGACATTGACTTTGATTAGACAACCGCAAACTTATGTGACAGTTATACACAAGAGTATACGAAAGATATTCATATGTTTTCTGATGAATTCTTACAGCCAAAGACTGATCATAGGCTCGTTCTCTTAATATTATCATCTAGTATATGTGATCCAAATACGAGATCGAATTATGGATCTATAAGGACAAAAAAAAAAGTTGAAAAGAAGTTCATGTCTCGTTACTTTTGGTTCCATCTTGTATATAATATTTTTGTTAGAGTTGTCATTATTTTCAAATTACTTGTTTACAAAATAGAAAGCTTCTTTCATTCGTTTAAGAACACTAACAAAAAAATAAACAAAATTTCCTTTGAACGTGTTTATGCTAGATCGTAATGTAACTGTTATTGTTGTTGATTTAATATCAATTAAAATTTTATTATCTGTTTCTTGAATTTATGTTGATGGGGTAGGATGTGATTGAACTGATTCGTTTTAACTTTCAACTCAACATTAACAATTTTATTTTTGATGTATCATGAAAAAAATTTCGATTTAATAGAAAATAGACTATGAACTCACGTAGAACATGAGAAATAAATTAAAGTTTTGTAAACTAGATTATATAGTGTAATACAGATTGAAGAAGAAGAATTAGGATCAATAAATTTTGATCTCTCATTAACTCTATCGTTTGACCCATGAAATATTTTAATAAACATGTAAACATATCATCTTCTTTGTTATAATAACCATTAATAACTTTTACTTCCTTTCTCTTGAAGAACTTGACAGATTTGAAGAGAAGTTTGGTAAGCATTATTAAAGAAGCATGATCGTATTTCAACCACTGATGTTATACTAATTGTGTTCAAAGAATTTTTTTCTGATTTACAACTTTCCTCGAATCAAGGTATTAATATCTTTAAAAAAACATAGAATAAACGAAGAAGTTTAAAAACTAGGCTTCTTATCCTCAGATCAAGATATTTGACCACTCTGCCGTTGAATGACAATAACCTATGTTTAATATCCTATATAATGACTTAACTACAATTATATTTATATCGGCTTAGTACACAGTTGAATTATACTTAGAGTGGTACTGGATCTAGCTTATGTATTTTAAGTCTTTTCAAGACATATCCAATACATGAGAAAATTTTACATGATTATTAAACAAAAATCATGGCTAGTACGACGTGATTAATTAACTGGACAACACTTACTATCGCATATATACAGTAGGGTGCGAAAAAATTGTCGTTAACTTTTCATAATTTTCTTTTATTTATCGTTATCAAAGAAAATCTATTTTTTTATACAAAGTTTACATACAAATTACAATACTTAAGAGACGCTCCATGAAAAAACCATAGATAGCGAAAACATGGTGGTTAATAGATTTCAAATCTGACCTCATAGGAAGTTAGACCATAGTGTACCATAGAATAATCCAAAATATTGCGGTCTAAAGATCTACCACTGGACAGCTATGGTAGACCGAACTAAGATACCTCTGAAGTATACTCCTAAAAATTGCGAAAAAAACCTCAAAAATTAACCTATCACTTTTTGTAAGTTTTTTTCTTGAAATTTTTTCACTGTCCAAATCGAGTTACATACCAATCAATAGAGCTTGATTTGCTCTACAAAACTGTATGTATGATATATCTCCTTTATCTTAAATTAGAATCGAAAAAGTCAAAATATAGTGTGTTAATGTGCTCTAAAATATTTTTTACTTTTCGGTATTTTGACTAAATGTCTTGATCAGAAGTCGATTGCCAAAAACATTTTTATATCATTTTGTAGCCCATTTAATTCTGCATCGAATCATATATTTGACATTGTTTTAAAATGTTCACAATTTGAGACATTTACGTCAGTTATAAAAGATTTTTGAGAGACAATTCCTCTAGTATATCAGATTGTCCGAAAAGTCCGTGCAACTAACCTTCTACTGCAAGCGTGAAACATATGATTTCCACCATTGTGTAAAGCGTCCATTTTTAGGATGGTACATCACTTTTGACCTAATTGCTTCATTACCTTCTTGAAGAAAGAAAGACGTTTTCACGATCAGATGTGCCTTTTTTCAGATATGATGGTGGTGATGGTAACTTAGTACCTTTGTATCTCGTTACCCAGAAAGGGCTGGAAGATGAGAATTTTAGGGTAGGTACAATTTCATATGGCTTACAATTTATGGTAGTCAGAATCGAAACATGTTGGTTCAAAATCCTCGGGCTTTTCAGAGGAAGTGTCGAAAATTCTCCAGAGATCCTCTGAAAAACCTTCCATACATGATCATAGAATTTTGAAATTTAGAGACTACCAGTAGAAAGAGCAGCCAAAACTCTCTCTGTGATTGAATTTTCAGAGCGATCGAGCGAGATTTCGAAGAGGTATACAAAGATTTCGTAGTAAAATGCACATTTTACTTGTGAGGTTTTCATGGCTTCAAGGTGCATCTTAGCCAAACAGCCATCTTTGACATCTTAATTCACTCTAAATTCAAACCCAAATAGTGCATCTTGTAGCCCTCGATGAGCTCTACAAAACTATGCATCTCGATTTCTGAAATAGATATCTCATTGATAATTGGCTTTGAAGTATGACATCTAAAACATGAGCAGATCTGGTCGTGAAAAGGTCCTTCTTTCTCCAGGAAGGCAATGAAGCAATTAGGTCAAAAGTGGTGTACCATCCTAAAAATGGGCGCTCTACACAATGGTGGAAACCATATGTTTCATGCTTGCAGTAGGAGAGTAGTTGCACGAACTTTTCGGACAAGCTGCTAGAAGAGACTTTTTTTATTTCATCACATATATAAAAGTAAACTCGGCAAACATTGAAAGTTGTTACTCAAGTGCACTGGAGTCTGTCAAATCTGAGCGCCTAGAGTTTTCTGTTTATTAGATTCGAATTCCGAAACAATTCTTCTTCATTATAATACCTACATCTAATCATCGTTATAGATACTATAACAGTGCCTCTCAGTTTCATTCTAGATCCAGATCCAACGGACTCTACTGTGAGGGAAGGTCTTATGGGATTTGAAAAAAAAAGTGTAAATCTATTCATGGATCCGGACACGTATTCAGAAAAAGTTGATTGACTATATTCAGTGGAAAAAAAGTTCTACTCGATAAGTCATAGCTGTCAGCGTCAATCTCACA